CAGAGGACTTACTTATTTTTTCTTTTTGATTTTTCTACTTGGATTACTGAGATGCATCAGGGCATATATTCTGAGAATGTAACTAGATTTATAATACAAATTTGTCATTAATGAAACAACTACAGTATTTCTGCACTCTACTAATTTATTGAAATTTGTTGTTACAACTTTATTTTGGCATCAAACACCATTCATGCTCTTAGTACGTATGTCAAGCAGCAATTTTAATCAGCTAATTGGAAAATAAACATAAAATCACTGTAGAGGCTATTCATTAGACTTATTTGACAAAATAAATCTAAACTAACACCCAAAATAAATAGTTGATCAGTACAAAACTTGCAGAAAATTCAGATATGCACTAAATCTTAGACGTAACATTTTGTTTCACTTTTCCCTGATTAATACTGGAAGAAACTGAGACATTTATTTTTCTATTACATGAGCTGAAACCACAACTTTAGCACAACACTGCCATCTAGTGATCAAACTTGAGACGTGCACGTGTTCTAATAAACACAAGAAAAAAGAACTATAGTTTTATATAAAATATATTGAATACGACAAGTATTTTTATTTCCATGAACAAACAACTTTTTTTATTTTTTGACAGATGTTTGCATATTTTTATTTAATGCTTTGAAACCGTCTGCAGCTGATTCGCACCTCGTAAACTGTGTGCGTCTCTCATATGTGTCCGACTAGAAACATRTTCAAGCTAAAACTTTAAATTCTCCTTTCTTTGAGCTCACATTTATTTGTTGGTTAAAAAATGTCGACGGACTTGTTGCAGTGGTGTGTGGACCAGTTACACCATAAATTTGGCTTAGAGGCATGTGAGGACATCGTAAAGTAAGTAGTAATAAATGCCACGTTTAGTATGACAAAATAAACAGTGAGCTAGCATAAATCACTCTGGCATATCGAAATCGTGTTCGTGTATGAGCTGTGTACATAACGTATCACTGTTACATTCTGTGTAAAAAAAAGACTGTAATGTGACAGAAACAAATGTTTTTTTTTTTCTTGTTAACGATTGTTGAGAGCTGGATAGGCTGTGACATATATGACCTATGTATGATGACATGTTTATGTTTTTAGCCATGTCAACCATAAAAAAATAAAAATAAATAAATCTGCCACTGCTCTCAAACAACGCCAATGAAAAACGTTAAATTTTCTGTATAAGACTGATCTGATTTTATGTAATCTGGGATTGCCTGTTCGAAAAATACTTCATGAACCACTTGACTGGTTATGAAACTCTCAGCCTCAGAAAATGATTGGACACACCACGTCCACATCAACAGATTAATTAAACTAGTCAAGGTGGCCTCCACAGCTCCCTTAGCAAACACACATTAGAATTTCTTCAGTATTATTTTGTTTGTTTTGTTTGTTTTGGTATTTTACTGTTTTTTTTTTTGTTGGTTTTTTTTAGAATTTCTTCTGAAATAACTAGTTATGTAATCCTGCTGCCTAGGTATATTCTATCCATTGAAAAACCTGAAGAGATTGAGGAGTACGTGGGAGACCTCCTGCAGGGCACTGATGGGAGAAAGGGGCAGTTTATAGATGAGCTCCTCTGCAGATGGAAGAAAACCCAAAGACAGGCCACAGATACAGCAAATCTTGTCCTTCTCAGGGACTCCGTGTCACCCATCGGTAGGATGATAAATGTCTGACATGTTTTAACCTGGATTGCAAAGAACTGCTTCCCAGTTTGGGAAGAACAAAACTAACTATAACAAATTAACTGAAACATGAGGTAGTGTATCTGAGAAGCATTTGAGTTTTCTGTAAGTACTATTTTTATTGTCTCACTTGTGCAAGACTTCACCAAAGATACCCAGAAGAAGTCTAAACGTAAAGGGCGTAACAAACAGGAGGTGATGACTGTGAGCCGAACTGAGCCTGAACCTGAGGTGGTTAAAACTCCAATCGATCTGATGAGGGTGAGCACACACTGGCATAGATTTCCTCTCATCTACAGTTTGGCAATTCAGGAATAGTTGAGTCTTTAACACCGAATTAAAKTAACTGACCTTTTCTTTTCTTTATTTTATTTATTTAACACACAAATAAAAAACAATTGAATTCAACAATTATTTAAAAATACTTCATGTTCATGGAAGTGGTTGAAGCCTGAATGGGCTTCTATAAAAACCGCGCCCATTCAAATCAGACTACAACACAATAGTAGAAATCAGAAAAATCAATGTCAAATTAAAAGTCATCATCAAAGTTCACATTTCAGAATCCATCAAAGCACATAACATGTCATCAGCTTAGGTTTTAGTCTGTTTTTATGCATACACAGTGATACAATGTGTTCCACAAGGTCTATACAGTATTTGTATTCAGCATTCTAGCTCCATGAAATCTAATGGAGAATTGGTCAAACAACGACCTCTTTTCTTTACGTTTTTGTAAAATTGATTAGCTGAAAAGCTGTTACATCTGAATCCAAATGTAAACAAAGCCAACGAAAGTTAGGTATGTAACTACGGTTCTATGAATCCTGAATGACTGCCAGAGGGTGGTGCTAAAAGCACTGAATGTTCCCTTCGCSCATGTGCCGTTCAAGCTGTAATAGCAACAGAGTCACACCTGTGACCAATCGGATGACTAATCAGAGGCTATATAGCTTGATGTCATCTGAAGCTCTGTTCCTACAGAATCTTCTCGCAAATGCAAGGATTCTGAGTGACAGAGAAGCTCTGGCAGTCATTCAGGATTCATAGAACCGTAGTTACATAMGTAACTTTCGTTCTATTTCATCCCTACTGACCGCCAGAGGGCGGTGCTAAAAGCACTGAATGACTAATACCAGCGATGTCACAAGGAATCCTGAGCACCAACCTCACTGAGAAGGCCCAGAGGACCCTTGTAAAAGAACCTGTCCCAAAGGGTGAGGAGAAGCCACATTCACATTGTAAAATCTAGTGAATGTGCTTGAAGAAGACCATGATGCYGCAGCACATATTGTTTCCAGTGGGACCCCTTTCAGGGCCGCCCAGGAAGTAGAAATGCTCCTGGTTGAGTGTGCCTTCACCCCGACTGGCAGGGAACAGCCTCCTGCCCTGTAGGCGTGGCAGATGACATCCACAATCCAGTGGGAGAGACGCTGTTTTGAAAGGGGATGGCCTAATCTAGGGCCTCCATAACATACGAACAGCTGGTCTGAGCATCTTATAGGAGCAGTAGCAGCAATATATGTCTCCAACGCCCTCACTGGGCACAATATGTCAGGCCTATCGCCAATCCCTCCTGACGTAGGCTGAAAACACGCCAATCTCAGTGGCTRGTTACAATGGGAATGCGAAAAAACTTTAGGGACAAATGCAGTGTTTGGCCACAAGGTAACAACACCAGAGCCATCTGGGGCCCATTTGAGACATGACGGGCTGGCAGAGAGAGCATGCAGCTCGCCGACCCTTTTAGCTGAGACAATAGCTAATAAAAATGCTGTCTTACATGAGAGCCACTTGAGGTCCGCCTGAAGCAAAGGTTCGAAAGGAGGGTGGCGCAGGGCTTCGAGGACCAAGGGCAGATCCCAAGCAGGTGCCCGCAGAACTGTTGGTGGGTGCAACCTGCGAGCGCCATGCAGAAAAAGAGGAACCAGGTTATGGCTTCCAACTGTACCACCATCAAGGACAGCATGATTAGATGATATTGCCGCCACATATACCTTAAGTGTTGATGGAAAGCGGCCCTTATCGAGGAGAGATTGAAGAAACTCCAGGATAGTGGGCACCACACAGGAGACTGGATCCTCATTGCGGTCAGCACACCACTGAGAAAACAAACGCCGCCTGTTTTCATATTGCTGACGAGTAGAATGTGCCCTAGCACTTAAAATAGTGTACCTGACAGAGTCTGAATATCCAGTCAGCTGCTGCTCAAGCCTCCCAGTGGCCACACCCACAGCCTGAGGCGTTGAGGATTGGGGTGCCAGATCAGTCCCCCTAACTGAGGCAATAGGTCCCTCTTGGTTGGAAGACACCATGGGGTGTCTTGACACAGACTCCGTAGAAGTGGGAACCATGGTCGTGCTGGCCAATACGGAGCTATCAGCAGCACCCTGTGGCCCTCTTCGAGAACTCTCTGAAGAGTCGGCCAAATCAGAGAAAGGGGTGGAAAGGCATATAGAAGGACTCTTGGCCAGGGATGTGCCAAGGTGTCCTGGCCCAGTGCGCCTGATGCCCCCGTAAGAGAATACCACAGAGGGCAATGAGTCGACTCTTCWGTGGCGATGTTCTGGCGCAATGGGTACATGGAAGTACGCATCTGTCAGGTCTACTGATGTGAACCATTCTCCCCTTGCAATAGCCTGCAGGACYTCTGCCGTGGTGAGCATGTGAAAGGGCAGGGCCTTTAAATACTGATTGAGACCCCTGAGGTCCAGAATGGGACAAAATCCGTCTGTCTTCTTCGGCACAAGAAAATATGTTGAATAAAAACCTCTGGGTTGCTGCAGAGGATCCACCGCCTCGATCGCACCCTTGGCCAGGAGGGTGGAAAGCTCCTGGTCCAGGGCATGAGCTATCACCGGGTCGGCGATGACAGTCTGTCTTAACCGGTGTGATATGTGAGGCCGCCGTCGGAACTKTAACCAGTAACCATGGGTCAGAGTGGCAACCACCCATGGGTCCACGGTTTGAGCAGCCCAACAACTGAGCTGCTGATGAGAAAAGTATCCAACGGCCGGCCTGGTGGCATCACTTCCTCTCCCCACGGCCCCTAGGGGGCCTGGGGGGGTAACAACCAAAAGCTGTGGCCTGGGCCCATCTGGTTGGCTGGGGAGCTGGCTCACGAAAGTCCCTGCTGGGTCTCCGTTGCGCAGCACGAGGATAAGGACCTACAGGTCGATCGAAACCCCGAGGTGGTGGCCGAGGGTTGGGGCCAGCTGATGGACGCCTCAGGTTACGAGGAGATGGAGGCACAGTCCTGTTAAGGCCTGAAAGCTGCTGCCTAGTCTGTTGCGCCTGGACAGTACGTTCCAGAGCTTCCACTGCCGCAGAACCAAACAACTCCCCTGGCACCACAGGAACATTACGGAGGCTCCTACGACATGTCTCATTAAACGTGGACTGAGCCAGCCAGACCTGTCTGCAAGCCTGAACCAGGTAGGACATCACACGTCCAAGCTCCCTTGTCATAAGTGCAAAGGCCTGAAGCGCTGCATCACTAAAGCCGGTGGCGGTGTTTGTCCCAGTAGCATCCTGAAGGGATGCGGAAAGGGCAAACATGAGGTGTGCCAGAGAGTTGCCAAGGCGGCCAGCACGTGCTCCTGAATTATAAGCCTTACAGATGAAGTCATCTGTAATGCGACATTGGGGCCTCGGGCACCGAACATCATGACGCAGAGCCTCATCCGGTGGCACAATGAGCGAGGCAACTGCAGGTTCAACCGAAGGCATTTGATCCAAGCCTTCCTTGACCGCATCATGCATAGCCGCCAACACCCAACCATCTGTGTTGAGGCGCGAAAAGGCCCTAGGGTCCCGCCAACAGGCATGCAACTCCCTCAGGTACTTCTCTGATGGAGGAACCGAAAAGGGGGTCTCTTCTGAAAAAGGCACTTGCAAGGGTGGACTCCTCCACCTTCGGAACATCTAGCTGTAACTGATTTAGAGCCAGACGCATAATATCCTGCATAGAGCCATCACCTGACGCACTAGAAGCATCCTGAGACGAGGAGCGTGAGCCCATCTCCGAAGCGTGGGAYGACTGTGCCCCCTCCTCACTTCTAAAGTGAGAGGCAGAGGCTGCCAAAGACAGCACGTCYTCCTCCCTAGTCAACTCAGGCATGGTTGGGGACCCTGTTGGTCCACCCAGCTGGCGTGTCTGAAAAAGAGATTTCATTTCTGCCAATTCTGCAGACAGCTGTGCAACCTGCCTGGAAAGGCCCTGATCAGGTTTGACCCGCCTCTTTTTAGAAGGGGCAACAGCGACTGTGGCAGTCCTGCGCTTAGAGCGCCTAGGCGCAGCCACCTGACCAGAAGGGGGAAGACTAGCATCATGCTCGGGGTCCAATTGGGCCAGCCGAGCCACTCTCACTGCGCGGGGCATATAACTGCAATTCATGCAAGGGTTCTCGTATAGGGCCTCCACCAGGTGGTCATGTCCGAGGCAGGCAGGGCACAAATTGTGGCCATCCTCCGCCTCAAGCCCAGCTCCACAACTCGCACAACAGTGGGAGCCGTCCACGCTTACAAAATAAATAAGGACTCAGAAAAGCTAACACCGTTAGCTCAATAACAAGCCTCGAGTCTGAATAAGTTGGGAGAGGGGACGAAAACGTTGCCGTCACCAACCAATTCACGCACCAACTCAAAAAGGCTAACCCCGTTAGCTCAAGTAACAAGAACTGAGGCTGAATAAGTTGGGAGTGGGGGCGAAAACGCTGCCTTCACCAACAAATTCACACATTAACTTAAGGCTAACACCGTTAGCTGAACTAATCAAAACTCAAGCTGAATAAGTTGGGAGAGGGGACGAGAACGCTGCCGTCACCAACAAATACGCATCAACTTAGAAAGGCTAACCCCGTTAGTTCAATTAAGCAAAACACAAGCTGAAAAAGTTGGGAGCRGGGGCGAAAACGCTRCCTTCACCAACAAATTCACACATTAACTTAAGAAGGCTAACACCGTTAGCTCAACTAATCAACACGAGCTGAATAAGTTGGGAGCGGGGGCGAAAACGCTGCCTTCACCAATAAATTCACACATTAATTTAAGAAGGCTAACACCATTAGCTCAACTAATCAAAACTCAAGCTGAATAAGTTGGGAAAGGGGACGAGAACGCTGCCATTCACCAACAAATTCACTCATCAAACTTAGCAACAGCGATAAGAAAAAGAAAGGTTGCAAGTTGGGGAACCAGGCGAAAAATGCCGTCACCCCAACAAAACAGCGGATACCTCTTTGTTTTGAAGACAAGTCCGTCGCAGCCCCTTGGAGGGCAATACACCGCTACTCCAGCCAACTGGCAATCGGGACGTCCAAACGACGGCGAAATATTCCACAAGAGAAACGAACCGTATGTGAGAAGAAAAGAGGAACAGAGCTTCGGATGAYGTCACGCTATATAGCCTCTGATTAGTCATCYGATTGGTCACAGGTGTGACTCTGTTGGTATTTCAGCTCGAACGGTGCATGCGTGAAGGGAACATTCAGTGCTTTTAGCACCACCCTCTGGCGGTCAGTAGGGATGAAATAGAACTGGGATTTACGATTTAAAATAACTTCTCATCTATCTTCATAAGTTCTTTTGGTTTGGAAAGAGCCTCTGCTTTTTCACAGTTTAACAACCAACTCATTACAACTCAACAGGTTTTAGATTGACTTCATGTAGAATAAACAGCACTGAATCATTTGAATTTAGATGTGTTTCTCTGAAATCCTGACAGGATCTGTGTAMCAGTCATTTGGTACTTATTGTATTGTTTGTACTAAATGTCTTTKTTTGTTTGACCATTTTATTCCCCGTTTACTTCTGTCTCAGGCTCAGGAGATTGGTAGTAGTTCTTCAGGAAAGAAGAAAACCAAGTTTGTCAATCTCTATGCCCAAGAGGGCCAGGACAAGCTGGCGGTTTTGCTGCCAGGTCGACACAGCTGCGAGTGCCTCGCCCAAAAACACAAACTTATCAACAATTGCGTGAGCTGTGGCCGTATTGTTTGTGAGCAAGAGGGCTCAGGGCCCTGCCTCTTCTGTGGAAGCCTGGTGAGCTTCACCTCAAATGTTCATTTCTCATTTTCTAGTTTGTTTGTTTTTTCTTTGCTCATCGTTTCATTTTCTGTTGGAGGTTTGCACACGAGAGGAGCAGGAGATTCTGCAACGAGACTCCAATAAAAGCCAGAAACTCAGAAAAAAGCTGATGGGAGGTGAGCATCTGAACTGAAAGGATTATAAAGTTTTAAACATGTTTTTATATAATAAATTTGTTTTTTTCTTTGATGGCAGATTGTGGAGAAAGAGAGCTTCTTCCACACCAAGAAGCTAAGATTAAAGCYGGCTTGGATAAAGCTATTCAGCACAAAGAGAAACTGCTGGAGTTTGACAAGAACAGGTATACAATGCATAGCTTCTCAGGAGTGAACAGATTRTTGTTTTCTGTACACTTCACTTCCTGGAGATGGCATCTGACTCATTCTGTATAACACACTTGTTCCTTTCAACTGCAGTGTCAGGAGAACGCAGGTTCTGGACGATGAGTCCGATTACTTTGCCACCGAATCCAATCAGTGGCTGTCCCCCGGTGAGCGGGAGAAGCTGAGGAAAAAGGAAGAAGAGCTCAGAGAACTTCGCCACGCCTCCCGCAAGGACAGGAAGATCACTCTGGACTTTGCTGGAAGACAAGTGTTTGAAGAGGAAAACAACTTGACCGAGTACTACAGCAAGTATGAAGATCTGACAGCAACTCCAATAACAGCAGGAGTTTGTTTACAATGAGTAGATAATCCAAACTGATTCACGATTTTTTTATTTACGACTGTCAGGTTGGATGAGACACTCAGAGCTATGAACAGTGGCTCAACGTCACAATCAGCTAAATATTCTGGAAGAAAAAATGAAAAACAGAACCTTGGCGGCTTGGTCAACCCAAACATCCCTCAATCTGCACCAGAGGTGAGTCATTTCAGATGAGTTTATCTGTTACTGTGTTTATTATTTTTTCTTTTTTCTTTTCTTTTTTGTAAACGGTTGATAATTTTGATTGAAAAAAAAAGTTTTTTTGCGAAAAAGGGGCAGATATAATACAAATTTTTCTTCTTCTGCTGCCTTTCATTTCAATTGGGATTTGTATTTTTTGTTGAATTTATGTTATTTTTAAAGAAATGAATGAAATTAATAAACTAAACTAAACAAAACAACACATTATATTAAATGATCTCCAGTTGGTGGACCCTGAAGGCAGCGAGTACCACAGGCGACCCAAGAATGTGAGAACAGCTGCAGTGGAGCAGAAAGGAGGAGGAGAACGCCACCAGCTGCGGCTGCAGGACAAGGAGCTGCAGGAAAGCTCTGATGGAGGCTGGTGCCTCAGCATGCATCAGCCATGGGCCTCACTGCTGGTCAAAGGCATCAAGAGGTAAAGAGCACAGGTCAAATCTGTGTTTTTTTTTTTATCTTCTTTCATTCAGGGAACTGATAGTAGAAGAATGGCATGAAATGTGTTTTTTTGTGGTTAGGGTTGAAGGACGGACGTGGTCCACATCGCACCGAGGCCGACTTTGGATCGCTGCTGCAGCCAAGAAACCCACTCCTCAGGAGATCGCTGAGGTGGAAGCCTTATACCGCCACATCTACAGGAAAGGTAATCATTTTTTACACGAGTAACTAATTATAGAAATAAATTGAGATGTAATAAACAAATTAAACAGTTTTATTTTGAAGTTTATAAGTGTAAATGGGCTGATGATATTTAACGTGAACCAAAATTACGAACTTGGATCCTAACAAAGGATGTTTATGGACCTGAGCTTTATGTGACATTGAGCTTACTGTAACTAAATAACAAGGGTCTGCATGTGCACAGCTTAGATCTGACACTTTGCCTTTGGCATTGGAGACCGAACGATTTCGTTCAGTTCCAGAGGAGGATTGCAAATGTTCTCTATGTGATTTAAATGAAATTGAAAATGAAATGCACTTTTTGATTTGTTGTTGTTTGTGTATGACTCTGAGGGAGCAATAATTTGGTAACGTTCTTGATGTCTTTTCAGATTTTTTTATATGGATGATGAAGATAAAGTGCAGTATTTATTTAAGTATTTTTGTGTTTCAGTTAGCTCAGTTTGCTTTTAAAGCTTGGCATCTTAGGAAGAGGACATGTTTGTTTAAAGGTGACCTAATATGGGGGTCCTAGTACAAGTTAGGATCCATCTGTGGGCTCTACAAAACATGTTCATTTGATTTAATTCACAAAAGGAATCTTAGTTAATGAAATTTCACCTTTTCCGTTCTGCCTGTTCTTTAGCTCTCTTCAGAACGTGCTGTCATGCATGAGTAACCATCAAAACCCCCTCCCAACCTTTTGTTTACTTTAACTCCGCCCTCCCAACATGGCGTGCGGTGTGGGGTGGGGTGCAAATTAATCCATGGTGAAATTATTTACACAAACTACAACGTTCTTTCTTAATATTTCTAGAACATTGCCATCAAAAATAAAATWAAATTAAATTAAAATGAAATGAAGCCACTTATCTCTGTTCTAAAACAGCAGAATAGTCCTGTGAAGAAGTGGGCGGAGTCTCTGCTTGGGTTACCAGAGACGGGCTGGGCTCAGTTTGGGGTGGGCTGGAGTATTAATTTTTTAGGTCCCCTTTAAAGAATGCTTATGTCTGTCTGCTTTTGTGAATGTGTTAATTGTGTCTTGTAAGCCTGTGTGGGCTAAGTCCCATTTTTGGTGTATGACCCATTGAAAGAAAAAAACAAAAACTAATAGTAGTAATAAATCAGAGGGTTAGTTGTCACTGCTGTCACAATACCCATGTGTCTTAAGCAAGCAGTATATAAACACTTAGAGAAATATGGCACCCATGAGTGTGTAGCTTAAGTTTTAGAGAGAAGCCTCATACATGCTGTCCCTCAAAATGAGAGAAGATTTTAACTGTATATAAAAGTAAAAGCTTTTAGAATACAATACATATAGGGTTTTGCCTTCTGATGTCTCCGTAAAGCAGTATAGGGTTTACATTTGGAGCAAATTATTTATTGCTGTTAGGATAAATGCTAAGTTTAGTTCCAAGGTTGAAGTGAAGCCTTTGCGATGACTCACGATTTCACATGTCCATAAATCAGTGGCTTCTCTTCATCTCCGCAGAGCCAAAGTTTCCAAAAGACTATCCCACTGGATGCCTGCTGGGTTGTGTAAACGTGACTGACTGTCTCGCTCAGGAGCAGTTTAAAGAACAGGTTTGTGACTTCCATTTCACTTATTGTTCATTTTTATTTAAAGCGTAGTCGTCCCCCCATGTCTGATGTTTTCCTCTCTGTGGCTCGCAGAGGCAAATTTCAAATGAAGTGTCAGCTTATTGCACACAACGCCAAGTTGAAATTTATTGGCAGCATTTTGTTGTAGGTCTCATTGTGTGTAATAATGACACTAGCAGCTGCAAACGTTCTTAAGTTCCCGTGATGGTTAAAAAAATAGGACTGAAATTTTATATACGTGACTTCACTTTGAAAATCTGATGTATTCTGATTCTGTATGTTTTTTTTCTTGGGAATATTTGTCCATCTATTCTCTTTACTTACTTCCTTTTTGGAGGTCTCAGGGAGCTCTAGCTCCAGCAGTCACAGGACCGCATGGAGAAAAATGAGACAACCAACCATGCACAAACACTTAGTTAACCTAACATGCATGTTCTTTGGTCTGTGAGAGAAAACCRGAGTACCAGAGAAAACCCACGTGTGCACAGAAAAAACATCGACACCTTCTGGAAATTATCGCCTAAGTTGCTTTTTTTCAAGTTTGTCAAGAAGTAATGTCATGTGGTTCATTTTTGGTGAAGTTTCCTTAAAAACTGAGGGGGGAAAATGTCTTGAAATTACCATACTCTACATCAGAGGTCTTCAACCCTGTTCCTCGAGTAGTGCACACGGTTGTTTGAGATCTTCAGTTTCTTGCCAATTTCTCTCATAGAATAGCCTTCCTTTCTCATAACAAGAATAGATTGATGAGTTTTAGTATATATTGTTGGTTATTTTGAGACTATAATCAAACTTACACATGCTGATGTTCCAGATACTCAACTACCTAAAGGGATACCAGTTTTATTGCTTCTGAAACCCGTACAACAGTTTTCAGGTGTGCTGACATGATTGCCCAGGGCTGTTTAAATCATCAATCAGCCTTTTAACATGATGAACTTGGACTGGCTAAAATAAAATGCCATTGGAACACAGGTGTCATGGCTGCTGAAAATGRGCCTTAGTACACATGAGGATATTCCATTAAAAACACCCATTTCCATCCCATTCCATACATTCCACCCATCATTTACCGTATTTTCCGGACTATAAGCTGCGGCTTTTTTCCTGAACTTTGAACCATGCGGCTTATAGTCCAGAAAATACAGTACTACATTAATAATGTCTGCATTTCTGATGAATATAATGTTATTTTAATTAAAGAAAATTGTGCTTTGTGTTAAAAAACAAGAGCATTTCTAAATGACCACAAACTTTTGAGAAGTAGTATAATGTATATAAATATATATGCCACAGACATCTCTGTATAGGCTACATACGTCTGCTGTGTCCCACATCTGTGATGGGATTTGTGTCGTGTAGGTGTGATGGATTGTGTACAAACTAATATGGTGTCAGAGTAATAAATATTTATACTTCTCATACTACCACAATTAAATTCATTTTATCCAGGAAGCACAATTTATCTGGATAATATATTTTTTTAACAATAAGAAGCCGGAATGAAAAAAACAAAAAGGCTAAAATGAAATAAGAGTATCGATTTTCTACTTCTTACCTTTTAAAAAAATGCAGTGAGTAGAAAGTACAGATACGTTTGTGAAAATGTAAGGAGTAGAAGTAAATAGGCTGAAAAATAATCACTCAAGTAAAGTACAGATAACCAAAATATCTACTTAACTACACTTCCAACGTATTTGTACTTAACTACTTTACAACTCTGCTCGTGACCCACTGTCCTGTATGTTTTTAGCTGTTTCCCTGTTTCACACCTGATTCAAATAAATAATTATCTACACAGAATGTCATCAAGTTCAGCAGAAGCCTGTCAATCACTCATTAATTATTCCAGTCAGGTGTGTTGAAGCAGGAAAACATCTAAAACATGCAGGACAGCAGGGCTGAAGACCTCTGCTCTACACCTTTTTGCCACTTGGGTTGCTTGTGTGTGTGTGTGTGTGTGTGTGTGTGTGTGTGTGTGTGTGTGTGTG